TATCCAAATTACCCTTATTACTGATTTATAACACTAAACAAGCAAGGCAATTTAGTAGCTTGACCTATTTAAATCATGATGCAGGCCAACTACGTGTAGCAAACTTTGAGGCTTCATGCTTTTGGCGGATTTTTTCATTCTATCATTTTGGGTGAAACCTACGAAGTTGGTGTCAATGTGAAATGGGGTGCCTTTTAAGGGATTTTCTAGAATGATTTTGTCTTATTTTATTTTCTCAATGTCAAAGTGTAAAATTTGAGTTCAATTTTAGCGAGGAGTTTTAATGTCATTAAAACTGGAAATAAGGTTTCCAAATAAAGTCTATAGACAAAGTTGTGTGAGGGTCTTCTTAAGATTCAATGATCATTTTTTCCAAAATATTATTTGTTGAGTTTCTATCGAATCCACTGAGCTTTTGAAAGTTAGACTTGTTAGTTTCTAATAATTCTCAATCAATGTAATATTTCTTTTAGATTCTTTTCCCTTCTTCGAATTTGCATCAAATTACTTGTACCAAAATAATGGAACTACTGTTTGTTTTGTGCTTCGAACTCAAAATGTGTTTTTGTTAAAAAATCTTATCAACATATAGAACCCAATATAAGAGGGGCTTTTTGGTAATTTACCGCCACTTTTGACATAAATATTAGTTTGGTTTCAACCAGTGGTTTAAAAAACGAATTGGTGCTCCGGATCGGGCACCCCCAAAACGTATCTGGATCGGTGAATCGGCGATCCAGATCAGGAATCAGCCGAATTGGACTAATTAAGCCTTAAAAAAAATCTAAAAAAATTATTAAAATTCATTATAAATATTGTTATTTAATAATCCAATAAAAAATACTGATATGACATTATTAACTTTCATTTTTTTTTTATTATCAATTTACGAATATTGAGATGTTTTTTCCCTATATGAACTTATGTTAACCATTAAATTTGCATTATATAAAACAAAAAACAAAGACTTATCAAGGATAAAGTATATAATTATATATAGACTACAATAAATAATGGATTAAATCGATGAAAAACATTACCACTAAAATATTGAATTGGAGGAAAACCCTAATCCGCTGAAAAAAAAAACCAAATTATTACAACCTAACTAACTATAATCCAAAATTAATACAACCTAACTAACTGTAATATTATATATTGAAATAAAAATTTTTGGTTTACAATTTATTATATAAATAATAACAAATTCAAAATATCTTATAATATCATTGACTTTAAAATGTATTATTGACAACTGTACGAAAAATAGTACATTACAAGATTTATAATGCAAATAAATAATAAAATATTTGGTTATCAATATAAATATTATTAGAATGCGCATCAATTTTTGAAATAACGCTTCAATTTTTCAAAAATATAATTTTTAGATTTCTATAATAAATTTAGTGGAAGAGATTGTTAGAGACGGAGAGATATTTCAACCTTGTATGAATCCTATCTTAAAATTAATATTCCTAAATTTATGTTAAAGTTTACCATATTATAAAAATAAAAATTATAATTAGATCAGTTATTCCTAGTTTGTATTAAAAAAATATTTGTTGTATTAAGAAATACCTTTTATTGACAAGAAATACTTATTGTATTACCTTTTTTTCTTTTTTTGGACAAGAAAAAAAATAAAATGTTATATTACCTTTTTTTTTACTTGTATTACTTTTTATTTTTTTTACAAAAAAATAAGAAAATGATGCTGCCAGAATATGATAACTTTTCTAGAGATCTGTGCCAAATTTAATGGTGATCCTTTTGCACAATAGTGTCCCCCAAAAAGAAACCTAGTTGATAACCACTGCAACACATTACTCGTTGTTGAATACTTTTCTACAATAATTGTTTATATTGAATAACTTTTCTACATTATATCACTCGGCGCAATTCTCACATCTAAGAATCAAAGAAATTTTGAGGGCTATAAATACCTGTACAATAGCAATAATGTTAAACCGAACCATCATAGTATTTTTGACGCATCTGAGGAAAAAGGTGGTAAATGAGGCTTCTTCCGCTTCCGCCAGGGCCGCCAGATCACTTAGCAGCAAGACTAATCTAGCGAAGGGACTTATTTTTCCTACTTTTATTAATGTCAGTGTAATCCTCTTATTCCCTACTCTTTCCTTCTCTGTACAAAATATCTAATTCAACATCTTTTTGGTTTTTTACATCTGATCCAAAATATTCTTGGTATTTAGTATATGGTCTAAGACACGATCGAGCAAAGGGGTACACTTGCAGTTATGCCTTTTAAATGAAATTACCAAAATATCTTTAGTGACTCGCCGACATCATGTGAATGATTTGTCAAGTCTCATCTAGGATCGGCGATAAAGAATCGACACGGGGTGACCGATTCTCGTTTCGAGTCTCCTTTAGGATCGGGCGATAAATAATCAACACGGGATGATTGATTCCCGTGTCTACTCGGGCGAATCCGTTGCTACTTTTTAAAACCTTAGTTTCAACATTTTCTAATGGAAAACCCTGTTTCGGGTTTGGGACTCAGAACAAGCCCCCTGTTTCGGGTTTGGGACTCAAAACAAGTACTATAATTTTGGCTTGGGTAACTTAGGATGCCATATTACCAAATTGTC